CGTTTCGGGATAGTTCGGTGAATGGCACACGGAGAAGAAAACATCGCGCGTGGGACCCGAAGTTAAGGTTATATGGATCTCTGAAGTTTTCGGATGCGTGATCCGAAAACTTGAGGTCCAGCTGCCGAAGTTCGGGTCAGACATCTGAAGCACTCGGTATGTACCGGAGTACTTCAGATGTCTGACCAGAACCCTTCGTTATACACCTAAGTACTTCAGATGTCTGACCCAAACTTCGGCAGCTGGACCTCAAGTTTTCGGATCACACTGGGAAAAAAAACACATTGGATCTGGAGTCCAGACTCTTAAAAACATCGACAAGAAAATATACTCTGGATTCAATCAGATTTAAGCTTGAATCAAGAACCAAGACTCTTAATTTGAGCGAATTTCTTTTTGATTTAAGCTTAAATCTGATCGAATCAAGAGTCCTTTTTCTTGTCAATGTTTTCAAGAGTCTGGACTCTAGATCCAATGTGTTGTTTTTCCAGTGGCACGCATCCGAAAACTTCAGAGACTCATATTATCTCAACTTCAAGTCCCACGCACGAAGCTTTTTTCTCCGCGCAGTGGATTGTTGGGAAGGGAATGGAAATCATTAGGGCCTTCTCTCCACGAGCTGTTTCACGAGATTTGTCCCAGGGAAAAATCCTACTTACGAAGTTGGGAAAAATATTGAGGTAATCAATATTTTTCCCAGTACCAAGTATGGTACTTGCACCCCTAGGACCCACTGAGAGAAGAAGAAGAAGTGAAAACGAATTGTGCGATATTTTATTCATTACTATATTGTTAATGTTTGTTTCGTTAAAATAATGTGTCTAATTGTCAATTGAGTGCAATTATTATTTTAATCCCGGTTAAATACTCGACTTTAACCAATTTATCCTCCCGCGAAAACTAGTCGCAGGACTGTATGAGCCCCGTCCCGTGGAGACGGTAAGTGGGAAAAATCCTAGAAGTTTCATTCTTGCGATTCGAACTTGGGACAAATCCCATGAAAACGTCCCGTGGAGACAAGGCCCAATATCCCAATATTTTCAAAAACTGCTCTTATGCGCCTCGTCCTCCTCCGAGCAACTCATTTCATATCAGATGGCGAAAATTCACCTATTACCCTTTCACGCAAGGTCTACGGTGAGGGCAAATTGAAAAGCCATTTGAAGCCGTTTAATATCACCCTTGCGTCATTGGAGCAGCGAATCCGAGTCGCGCGCGAAAGCTTCATTAACTTCCGCGAGATTTTGCCGAGATTCCCCGGGTGGGGGGAGGAGGGGCCGCTTCGAAATCGGGCAGCAGCGGCGCACACTGAACCGAATCTGTGTGAAGATTCGGACAAAATCTGGAAACTCTGAAAGCTTAAATTTCCGAAAATACGAGGCAAAAAAGTTTAAAAGCGAATTTTATTTAAAGTCCCTAACCTCTTTGGGAAGTCCTATCCCGGTTTCTCTCACCAATCACCAACACCAGTGGACACCAATTTTACCAGATTCGACCAATCAGATCCGTTGGTTTCCGATAGGTCGAACCTTTTATAGAATCTCCTCGCGAGGTGGTATGTCCTGGTTACACGCTGAAATTTCCGTCAAATTCCTATCAAAAAGATGACCAAAATGGCAGTCAAGAGTTATCTAGATTGATGTGATGACTAAAATTAATCAAAACAGCGCGTTGATTGGAATAAGCATGAAACAAGCACGGTTGTGTGGAAATTTGAGCGTGTAACCATAGCAGTACCAAAATCGCGCCCCAACGTTGCGATTCGTTGATCACCAAATCGGAAGATCCGAGCTCAAATATAGTGGCAGCTCGGAAGTTCGGGCACAAAAGTAGTACCGAACCTCTAAATAAAATTCGCTTTATAAGTGGTTCTATTGAATTTTTCGTGAAATTTCCCTCTAGGAAACACCTCTTGAAATTGAATCATGACGTAATAAACATCAAAATTTGAAATTTTGGCCAAAAATGTCACGTTCGACCTCTTGTTAGTAGCTCGTTCCACCGTGCGGCGCTAATCCACCTTGATCGCGGCCCCGCTCCACAAGTTTCATCCCTCATCCCCCACGAGCACAAGCGCGAGCGCCGTCAGGGGTTGTTTCCGGTCTTTGCGCTTTTGCCGCGCCTTTTGTTCTGCCCCGATATTAACTCGGCGACGTTGAAACAAGACGCGGCACTCCGTCTTCGTTCCGACGTTAATGCCCCCTCCTCCCTTCCCCCCGCCCGCCCCCTCCCCTAAGCATCGCGTCGTCTTTCCGCAGCCTCCGTGGGCTCACTGTCAGCCGTCACGTTCCGCAGTCGCGGTGACGTCAGAGGCGACGGATGGTGAGACGCAACGCGCCGACCAGCCGTTGGAGTCGAGAGGAAAAACATGACTTATTCGGCACGATCTGGCAAGGGTGAGACTTGTTCATCATCGGGTCTGGAACTTTATGAGGCTTGGAGAACGGGTTGGGTGATTCACACGGAGGGATGTGCGTTACAGCTCATGTGTGCGCAAATAAATAGGATATGCAATTAAAATTACAGTAATAGACTTTATCTACTACGTTTTACGATATCACAAACTGATTGCGGTAGAGGCACGAGTTGTATTATTGTATTATATATTGTATTATATTATATATATTAGTTGTATTATTTAGACCAGGCTGTCGACAACCGGAAGTAGTAATGATTTTCTAAAAGCGGTCCGGAATTTTTCGTCATTTTTTCGCAATTTGAGCTAGAAATTCTAATTTTTGAAATTTTTCGATTTTCGTCAAATGGAGGTACTGAAAAAGTACTGAACTTTTTTGTTGAGGAGGTACTGAATTTCCTGGGAATGTACTGAAAAAGTACTATAAAAGTACTTATTTTTGGCCAGCTTGTTTTAGTAGACACCCTGATAGACAGGAAGTTGGAAGTATTTAGCCAAAGTGCGTTAAAAATCAGCATAAAGCTGCGAATCTCAATACAGAAGGAAAAATCTCATATGAGCACATTTTCCCTAAAAAAGATGCTGTTTGGTGCAACACTAGTTGCACTATTTGCACTATCGCACTATTATGCATTTCTTTCATTTTAATATTCCACTGATCGCTGCACGCTTTTCCAATACCTGCGGCATAGAGCTGCTCGCTTGCTTCTTGCTGAAAAAGTGTGCTCACGAATTTTTTCACATTCAACTCAGGACACCCTGTATACCTCCGGATTTCGAAGGTTGTCATGCTAGTAACCATGGCAATTGCGCGTCGCGCTCTGGGATCAGCGAATCAATGATCTTGGCTCCGAAACTCGAACAAGCCACTTGCGGTAACTAGATAAACTCCACTACTTCACACTTACCCTCGCAGGGGCACTAGAGTGTGCGCCCCGCATTTCCGCATTAATCTGTGCGCCTTGTCTCGAAATGTCCGCTTCAACGCAAAACCGCACGCTCTTAAGAGTTCGCAAACAATCGAAATTCGACTTATCGCGTAATCGCACAGCTTAAGCTTCGTCGCGCGATTTCGCATTATTGCCTCCGATTTTCCCCAATTTTCTCCCCCCCCTCTCACCTCTCCCAAGCTACCTCTCCTAGGGTCGCACGGGGGGGAGTTAGTGAAAACGGCTTTTGCAGAGTTGACAATTTTCCAAAATAAGAAGGTTAATAAGAGTTCGCAAACAATCGATATTCGACTTATCGCGTAATCGCACAGCTTAAGCTCCGTCGCGCGATTTCAAATTATTGCATCCGATTTTCCCCAATTTCCTCCCCCCCTCTCACCTCTTCCAAGCTACCTCTCCTAGGGTCGCACGGGGGGTAGTTAGTGAAAACGGCTTTTGCAGAGTTGACAATTTTTCGAAATAATAAGGTTAATAATGAAGTAAGATATTTTGTTTCTCCGAAATTTATCGCTCCAAAACTAGTAAATTTCAATGTAAATAATTTAAAAATACATTTATGCAATATTCTATTAATATTTACGACTAGCCCTCAAAGAATTTCAATCCATCTTTAAATAGTTGAAATGATTAACTTGGGAAATAAAGGGGAACGCTCTAATACGTAGGGTAGGTGTAGGTGTTAGCGCAGCATTCAGCAGTTAGCTAGGTTTTATAGTACCTAATTTTTTTTTCTTCCTCTTGTTTTTTCTTTTTTGTCGAGAGACCATCATGACCCAGAACGTGATGCAGGAAATCAAGTGATTAAAATGTTATAGTACAAGCACTCAAGTTTTTTCTCCCGGAAAAACTTAACTAAGATTACATCACATCTCAAAGTAGGCAAGTTTTTACGACCCGCGTGTAAATTGAGCGGCAGTGAGAGGATTTGGATAAAATGTTGTGTTCATAGGGCTCTGGTGTTATTGTCTTTTAAAAAAATGTCGCATGGATAAATACAACGATACATTGTTAGAGGTAAATATGTTCTTCTTTTGTGAACATGAATGTTCTTTTTTAGCGACACTCCCATCCTATTTCATGAGCAGCAATGTTACTTGTCACCTCGTATATCACCTTGTAATTGTTTTAATGGACACAAGGGGACAATTGCGCGAAAAAACAAGCGCGGGAAAGCACTTCTTCGACGGCAATTTTATAGCTCGACTGCATGGGATGTTATTCAGAGAAGTTACGGTTCCTTAGTACGTCTTGTACTTTTCCAGTCTTAATGATTCAGAGCAAATCATACTGTGTGATTGTTCCTTTTTCACAAAGGGAAAAATAATTTTTAAAAAAACAACAACTTTAAAGCCGGAACTTTTCGCCATTTTAAGTGTAGAATCGCTGCATTTCCTTTGTGAAACAAAAAAGGAATCTAAAAAAACGTTGTTCTAATAAGAACTTTGGTAACACCCTTTTTCTTGAAATATAGGGGTGGTTGAAGAAGAAATTGGAGATCGTTTCTGTTATCGAACCATTCTTCGAGAGAAACTTATCAATTCATGTTCCTAGACGAACTATTTTTTACGTTATTTAATTTTTAAAAAAATTTGATTTAGTAATTCTTTTTCTACTAGAAACAAGAGTGAACTCACCGTAAAAGTCGATCCGTCCATCACCATCGACGTCCACCTCTCTGATCATTTCTTCAACTGCAAGAAAATAAAAATGTTTTTTTAACGTGAATTACCGAAAAAATTGAACTTTTTCAAACATTTACATTTAGAATAAAACTACCCTGCAAACATATGTTCGCATTCTCCAGGTTTCTTCCTCTGTAGTCATTACCGTGCTGTTTGCCGTGCGTATCTTTTCTTAGCATTCATCCAAAACATCTGGATGCATCGAACGAAAAGCACAATGCAAAGGGAAAAATCATTTCAAGTCACAACTTAACGTTTCGTTTCATACCCCTATCCAAATTCAATTGTAACGCTGTATGACCATTGCAAAGACCTGCTCTACCCTCTCCGAGTACCGAAGTCGTCATTTCAGCGGTCGCCAGCTGTAGCTTATGCTTGGGATAGGGAGGTGTGCCGTCTGAACATACAAATGTTCAATACATGTTATCTCAATAAAATACAAATGTTGTTAAACATGCCCGCGAGAATATACGTATGATGGAGTCAGGCGAAATGCATCTTGAAGTGCAAACTCGAATACTCGTTTTGCTCAGCGAAAAAAGCTGATCTGGGGCATAAATCGATTCGTGAGAAAAATAAGATTGGTATATTGAATCGCGTGAAGCAGAAAGGAGCCATGCCACATTAGTCATTGGCAAAATTTATATGGCAATTTATTTTTCTACAAGGAAACGGCTTTACAGATTTTTCTGAAAATTTCAGGTAATTTGCTGCATGCCATAGAGAAAATTCCCTGTTATTTTCAAAATAATATACAACATCGTCCATGAAAAAACTTAAATATTCCGATGAAATTTGGCAATTTCTAATGTGATTTGGGTCCCTCCTATTTAATGTGGTCCAATGGTAAAGCAGGCGTCTGAAATTTTGCATATTTCATGTTTAAAAATGAGCTGAAGCGGGGCAAAATGACGTCCTCAAGAGAGTTCAGAGGAACATTTTCAGCGCGCTGATTATTGAAGTTAATAGACAAAGGAGACATAGGGGATATGGCGCGATTCTATCGGTTGAAGTAAGTGATTCCTATGGACTGAGGGAAACATGATTGACTATCGATAGGGTCTTTGCGGTGGGTTGCAGTTTCACTGGAAAAAAAAGTAGCTTGGATCTAAAGTCCAGACTCATATAAAAACAATGACAAGAAAAAATTCTCTTGATCCAATCGGACTTTTTGCTTGAATCAAAAGGAAATCCGCCTGAATCAAGAGGCTCGGCTCTTCGATTAAAGGAAAAATCGCATTGAATCAAGAGTATGCTTTCCTGTCAATGTTATTAAAAGTCTGGACTCTAGATCCAAACGACTTTTTTTCCAGTGTTAGTCTATAACCCACCTCCTTTCTCTATTTCATCCACCCGTTTCCATCAATAGGACCCCTCCATATGCCTTTTATCTTCTATGTCTAAAACTTTGTCCATCAATTTCAAAACTCGGTCAGCAGGGGTTTCCCCAAAAATTCGAGTGTTCTTAGAAGAAATGCGGCATCGTCTATTTTTAAAACTGGTTTTTGAAATTGATAGACAGAACTATAGACCAAGAAGACAAAATGTCACAAAGGGAGCCCATAGGTGGAAGCGGGTGGTTGCAATAGACAAATGATGGTAGTCGATCATTTTCTCTCTCAGGCTATAGGAATCGCACATTTTTCAGGTTCGCTTCGTACCCCCTATGTCTTCTTTGTCTATAGCTTTGTCTATCAATTCCGAAAATCGTTCCGGCGGTGGGGGTTTTCCAAAAACTCGTGTGTTATTAGAGAAAATACGGCAACGTCTGAGCTTTCAAAGAGTGTTTTTCCACGTGACAGCAATATTCCGATATCCCCTATGTCGTCTTTGTCTATCGCTTTGTCTATCAATTTAAAAAATCGGCCAGCAGCGGGGGTTTTCCAAAAAAATCGTGTGTTATTAGAGGAAATACGGCAACGTCGCCGAGCTTTCAAACAGTGTTTTTCCACGTGACGGCAATATTCCGATACCCCCTATGTCTTCTTTGTCTATTGCTTTGTCTATCAATTTCAAAAATCGGCCCGCGGCGGGGGTTTTCCAAAAATCCGTGCGTTATTAGAGGAAACGCGGCAACGTCTGAGCTTTCAAACAGTGTTTTTCCACGTGCCGGCAATATTCCGATACCTCCTATGTCTTCTTTGTCTATCGCTTTGTCTATCAATTTCAATAATCGGCCCGCGGCGGGGGTTTTCCAAAAATCCGTGCGTTATTAGAGGAAACGCGGCAACGTCTGAGCTTTCAAACAGTGTTTTTCCACGTGACGGCAATATTCCGATACCCCCTATGTCTTCTTTGTCTATCGCTTTGTCTATCAATTTCAAAAATTGGCCGCGGGGCTTTTCCACAAATTCGTGTTTTTAGAGGAAATACGGCAACGTCTGAGCTTTCAAACAGTGTTTTTCCACGGGACGGCAATATTCCGATACCCCCTATGTCTTCTTTGTCTATCGCTTTGTCTATCAATTTCAATAATCGGCCCGCGGCGGGGGTTTTCCAAAAATCCGTGCGTTATTAGAGGAAACGCGGCAACGTCTGAGCTTTCAAACAGTGTTTTTCCACGTGACGGCAAAATTCCGATACCCCCTGTAAAAACTTTACAACATTGTATACCTATGTCGTCTTTGTCTATCACTTTGTCTATCAATTTCAAAAATCGGCCCGAGGCGGGGGTTTTCCAAAAATCCGTGCGTTATTAGAGGAAACACGGCAACGTCTGAGCTTTCAAACAGTGTTTTTCCACGGGACGGGAATATTCCGATCAGGTCCGGACGAAGGAGCGTGGAAATGTTCCAAGGCGCGGAGGAGGAGGACCGTTAAAACTTGCCACGGTTGAGACGGAGCTTTTGATTCCTTGCTCCTCGGCGCTGTTTAAATAATGAGGGATCGCCGGGGATCAGGGGACGCGCGGAAATCTGCGCCAGCTCGCTCCCCGGAAATTGGATCCATTCACTTCTTTAATTAAATTCCCGCAACCTCTCTTTCTCGGCCAAGTTGCAGTCGGAGCTTGGGGTCCTCCTCGTTTCCCTGCCGCCCTGTCCCCGGCGCGCTAACCAATTTGGGCTAACGTTAAATGGACCGAGTTTGACGCAAACGCACCGTGTCGCGTTTCGAAAACGGAAAAGTTTTGAATTGAACTAGCCGTCAAATTTCTTTGGTCAGAAATTCGAAGTCGATAAAAATATTTTGAATGGGAGAATAGTCGTAGAACTTGGTCCTTAACATCGAGTCTAACGGAGGGTCAGGGTGTCTACAAGTTCGGAAAGTCCGGAAATGTACGAATTTTGTAAGTCCGGTTCGGAAGTACTGAAAAAGTGCGGAAATTCCCCAAGGAGGTCCGGAATTTTTTTCATTTCTTTGTCATATTTTTCACAATTAGAGCGAGAAATTCAAATTCTTAACTTTTTTCGCATTTCTTCATCTGTAGGTACTGAAAAAGTACTGAATTCTTTTGTTGTGGAGGTACTGAATTTCTTGGGAGTGTACTGAAAAAGTACTGATTTATGATCAACCTGTTTTGATAAGACACCCTGGAAGGGTCAAAGCTTCAAACCTCTCCTCTTCGCTTCATATTTGGACGTATTTTTGCTGAACGGAACCAGCGACAAGTGAAAAACAAGGGGTGTGCACGTTCATCTTTCCCGCTTGTATATAGTTCCGTTAAGCAGAAATAAGTCCCCTTAATTTCCGTTCTTCTTAAAATGGGCCAGAAATTATAGTTCATCGAAAAATATAGTCGAAAAATAATAGAAAGTATTTATTGAGAACTTACTTTCTTCTTCTGATAAATCTTCTCCCAGACACTGGAGGACAGCTCTCAGATCTGATGCACATATGTAACCCCGGTTGTGTTTGTCAAAAACCTAGAAGTATAAATCATCCACAGTTCATTGGAGACCGATCAAAGTGTTTTTTGATAGGGTATAGTTTTTCACAAAGTTACACACACATACTTAATGATGTGTAAAAATTCGGTATGTGCTGTGGCAGTGAGATACCTTTGTCCACTAACAGTTTAAAATAATGGTAGCATTCATACGCCTTTTGGCAACGTTGGCATAAATACTATAAAATGTAATCAGTATCAAGCCAAAAAAATTAAATTTTATATTAAAAATAAGATCTTGCGTTAGCTTGTGATGGGCCAATTTTTTCATCAGAACCAATGAAAATTTCTACGAACGATACGAATACAATAAAACCCAATTTTCTTCTTGAATTGTACGTATTTCTGCCAAACGGAACTATGTGCATTATGACGTGAGCCCTGTCATGCATATATTCTTATGGGTCTCAGGGCTCATATGTCTTAATGCCCATAGTTCCGTTTGGTAGACATACTTCCAATTGTGGTTCCGGTTCTCTTAATGTTCATACATACATAAGAGGCGCTCTCCGGCGCTCTGCGACGCCAAACCGCCACAAAACTAGGTCCTCCCACAGGTCATCAGGGAGTTGGCACTCCCGCATCTCTCTTAATGATCATTACTGTATTAATACTGGCAATTTTTTTTTATTTCTTAGCTTTACTTCTTAAGAGATCAACTCATACTTCTTACTCTCAACGATTAATTTTGCCATTGAGCTCAAAACCTCCGGTAAATGAGAGAGGTTAGTAACAGTATTTAAAAAATCGAGATGTTGGTATTTTAAAAAAAGTTCTTCAAATGAGAGTGAAAAATCGATTTCAAAAATTAACTGTTCATCTTTACAACGCCAATTCGAACTATTCAAGAACCATGAGACTTATCGAGCTTTGTCATTTTCGACACATTTTGAGCGCATTTATGAAAAAATCACCAATCTATTTTATTCTCCGAAGGCTCCTGTTACTCGAGTACATGAAATGTGTATTCTCTGAAGGATCAAGGTACTTGAATACATGAAATGTGTATTCTCTGAAGGCTTCAGTTACTGGAGTACATGAAATGTCTATTCTCTGAAGGCGCCAGTTACTTGAATGCATGAATATGATTATCAAATAGAAACTTACTCGGAATGCGTCCTTCAATTCCCGCTCCTCTTGGTCGCCAGTTTTGTCCGCTGCTCCACCCATATTCGACACGATCTCTACGAACTCCTCGAAAGTGAAGTAACCGTCACCTATAATCCAAACAGCAGTGACGTGAGATTTCGATCCACAAAAGGGGTTCAAACTAATTCTCCCAGCTTATGGAGCCTTTCCAGGAAATATGAACCTATCGCTTTCAGTTCACACAACTATCAATTTCTAACAGAGAGACTAGAATGAGTATCAGACGTTCAGATCTTGTGTAAATAGAGATCGAATTTTGAATGTAGCTCGCAATCGTCACGAAAGGACGTTGGATTTCCAAAAAACTGAGCCAGATCGCGATTTCAAGCCGAACTCTCGCGAGGTCTCGTGGATTCTGAATCTCGCAGATTCCGGTATCGAGAATGGATGCATCTAAGTAACGCAAGTTTTGAAAATATAAAAGTGTTGAAAGGTTTCAACTGTTTAATTCGGTACCCGAAACTGAAACACTGCAAAACTGGGGCGGCTCTTTATACTGCACTCTGCTTGCGTCTTTCAGTCTACATCGAAAATATCTAGAAAAAACTGCCATTTGACTAGAGCCGCCGTGTCAAGATACGAGCTCGTTTGATGATTTCGAGAGGCATCATTTCTGTCAATAAGCTGTTGAAAAACAAGAGGCGATAAGGATTAGCTTAGCGTTTATTGCAGAAATACTTGAGGTTTCCTCTCACTTTCTGCGAGGCACCACTATGTTAAACTGCCATACTGCAAGGCGCGTGTTCTATGGGTCAAAATATAACATCAATTCACTGTATAAAATTGTCTCCAAAAGCACTTTTTGAAAACAAATTTACTGAGGAAAAAAGTACCATTTTGACCCATACACTGGAAAAAATACACATTGGATCTAGAGTCCCGAATCTTAAAAACATTGACAAGAAAATGGACTCTTGATTCTATCAGATTTTATTTTATAAATCAAAAGGAAACCCGCTCAATTTAAGAGGCTTGGTTCTTGATTTAAGCGAAAATCCGATTGAATCAAGAGTATTATTTCTTGTCGATGTTTTCAAGAGTCTGGACTCTAGATCCAATGTGTTTTTTTTCCAGTGTAGAACGCGCCCTTGCAGTCGGCGGTTTAGTATTCGATCACCTTGTAGACATATTTTTGCAGTCGCCCTGATTCTATCAAATATTGTCGCGGGATCTTGAATTCTTGATCATAAGACTATGTGGTTCTTATCGATTATGCTCACCAGCGTGTTGATTGCTGAACTTGATGTTGAACATCAAATGATCTTGATCGATCAATAGCTCCGCTAAAAAAAGGATGCCCCGATCAAGGTCATTCGATGATCCTTCAAGGATCCAGGTGCAGGTGGAAATATATATATATTTGTATGGTGAAATCAGAAAATTACCATCTTGAAACTTGGAAGTCGTCCGGGAGGCACTTCTTATTTTCTATTCAACGCTATCTATGCCTAGAGCCTGGAGAGTTAAATTTATTAGAGGTAGGTTTTTTTATAGAACATGGTTATCTGTCTTATCAAAGACTCAACTTGAGCTTTGGAGTTCATTTGAAATAAAATGAATATACCATCATCGTATTTCTCGCAAAATTTAATGGATGATCTTATCGATAATCCCGCTGTTGGAGAGAACTTTGTTGAATCTTTGTATTAAAGGTCTCGCCCATAGTACCGTTTTTCTGAGCGTAGGAGTTTATTCAAATGGACAATATCTGTCATCTCAGATGAGAACTTGATACCTCTCGAATCAGATATATTAAACAATTATTCTGTTTTCTCAAAATCTCGAAAAGCACAATGGAGGGGCTTGGAGGACAAGGCGCATAAGTGCAGTTTTTGCTGTTTCGAGAAATACGTATCTGAAGTTTCGAAATTATATGCATGGATCTTTATGGCTGAAAGAAAGTTCAAACTTTCTTTTTGATGCTTTAAAACGGTATTTGAGAGCGAATTTTTCACCGAGTATGCATTGAGTCTATATTTACTCGAAATCATTTAAATCGCAATGGAGGATATGCACCTAAAAATTTTACTGCATCTTCTGAGACTAGTTAAAGAGCTGATTTTTCAGTATTTTTCATAATTATCTTCCGCAATCGGAAATAGTAGTAAATAGATTTTAAAGTGAGAAAATTTGCCGCCTTGTGACGTTATCTGGCGGCATTTACCATTTAAATGCATGTATTTTAGCAGATCAGGTTATTTTGTCATATTTCCGCCAATAATTTTTCAATGTAGAAAGCAAGGATATCCTCATGTTCAGTTTCCTTAGTAGTTTCATTTCACACAAGAAACTTACACAATTTTGGACACTTGCAAATTCTCCTATTTTTCAAATTCTTGTCCTCCAATCCCCTCAATTGGACGGGTACTTAAAGCAGAAGGAACTAAATCCATTTTGACATTAGCCCAGTTATGCACTCCTATGGATCTCAGGGCTCATATTGTTAGAGTGGACATGTTCCTCTGATTTTGACGTGTCCAATGGGACTATATTTTGCAATTTGGAACTATAAATTCTAGCCCGGTTTAAAAACAACGTATGCGCTATTAGTTTCACTATGCACATAAGAGTTTTTCCGGAAGAGCCAGAATTAAAGTTCCAAATCGCAAAATGCAGTCCAATTGGATTTCATTTTGCAAAAAGGAACCAATAGCATTGATATGTTGCTAAGATTGTGCAACTTCTTTTGTCTTGGAAGAAAACCCTGATCATTCATAAGCAGTTTCTAATTTGCAACCTAAAAATTGTAAATGTAAGACTTAAATTACCATGTAAATTTCATATTTTTGCATGATTTTAGTACTTCAATTGCAAGGGATGAATCTGTACAATCTTAGCAACATCGCAATTATTTTGGTTCCTTTTTGCAAAATGCAATCCAATTGTAAGTTGGGTTCTGGGACTCACCATCGATGTCGACTTCCTCGAGCATTTCTTGGAGCTCCTCCTCGCGGGCGAACTGACCCAGACTCCGCATGACCCGCCCCAACTCCTCCTTCGTGATGCTCCCATCTCCATCTTTGTCGAACAAGCGGAACGCTTCCCGGAACTCTGAAACAAAAACGCACAACTTATTTGTACAGGATGACAAATTTTTATGAAATTTCACGCGAAATAATTCCAGAAATTAAGGCGTTGGGTGCAAAAAAAGCATTTCTTGGTTGCGGTGTTTTAGAATCTCCAGCACTAATGCTTTCTTTAGAGAGGAAATCATTGGGTTAATTTTCTAAAATTTTATATATTCAGCACTGTATAATCATACAGAATATTCAGTAAAATTTTCAAGTTAAATACAATTTGCTCATGTACAATGGATGAAACGTTACCGGAAGTTCTGAGACACCGCAACCAGGCAGGGTGTCTACCAGTCCCTGAAAGTCCCCAATGTCCCCGATTATTTCTGATTTTCCCCGATTTTGGAAGGGTGTCCCCAACATCCCCCAAAGTCCCCAATTTTTCCTGTTCAGGTCTCTAAAACATGACAAAAATCGTCCTAACCACCGGAATTTTCAAATTTTCCCGCCAGCCGCGGCGGCGCGATGTAATCAGGAATAAAAAAACTGAAATGTTGCTTGGTTTTTCACATGTTTTCATTGGTTCAACATGACTTATAAAATTAGTCTTACAAAATACGCCCTTTAACGCTCTAACTAGCTCCTTTCTCTTACTATTTCGAGAGATCAAGTCCCCGATTTTCTTGAAAAAACACCCCTTAAAGTCCCCTAAAGTCCCCAATTTTGTTTTTTTATGACTGGTAGACACCCTCGCAACCAAGAAATGCCCCTTCTGCACCTAGCGCTTCAATCGTGATCGGGAAACTACTAAATATTTGTCCTGAGATAGTTGAATCGTGAATATTTAATGAAGCGTAAAGAACCAGGTCAAAAATAAAACAGAGTCAAATTTGAAGAGGAAGCAACGAGCGACTCTCGGAGGACGAAAATAGTTTTATTGTAGGAGGCATGGTTTTGAGGGATAATCATTGCATTGCGACACAGCGTCAAGAGTGCTCGGTACATTCGAAGAGGGGAAACAATGAAATTCATTCGCATTAAATCTGTTGGTGCAAAAATGCGCAATGCCATTAGATGCAGGCTTGTACATTTCCGCGCTGAGTGCAATTCAATTTTTCTACGTTCAACCCCGGCTCCAACAACTAGTGTCTCCTATTATTTCGTACTCAGCGGAAGAGGGATTTGTTCACCATGAATAATGAACGGAGCTCCTCTCATTCGAGCGCCTGTTGCATAAATTTTCGCTCCTGTGATATAAGGGCGTATATTCATTTCCGCTGAGTACCAAACGGCAAAGACTTACACGAGCAATAGTTCTCGTCGAAAATTGCAGTTACTCGGTTACGTCTGATTAGCGCCCTAATAGCGGCCAACGCGTCACGATAAGTAGCCCTTAGCATACCGAACTAATAGCTAGTGTTCGGCTGTTGTTGGAGGGTTATTTGGACCAAATTTCGCCATAAGGAATTGCTAGTTCTGGCTAATTTCATAAACAACACGTGTCCCTATACTTTTCTTATGCAGATTGATGCTTTTGTGGGTGAGCCTGAGTTCATTTTGGATTGTTTGCAGGGATCACAATCGATTTTTTAAAGGTCGTTCGCTTAAACTGTCGGGATCTAGCATTTATTCTGGAACATAAACTGGATCGAGTTGAATAGAAAGGAACCAGTTTTTTTTTATTATTTTTTGGGGGTTGGGGGGAGGGAGAGAAGCAAGGGTTCTGTTGATAAATTATTTGAGGTAACTTTATGGACATCATTTCCCCACACTCTTTTTTAAATTATCACTATATTTTTTCCCTCCCGTTTTGGAGTGAAATTTTGTCTGAAATAACCTCAACTAACAGAAAATAGTCTGTAAAAATATTAGGTAGGTAGTAAAACTGGTTTGTTTTTTCTTGAATTATAAAGTAAACGCGTGTACTTTGAAACATTGCAACAGTGATGTTGTGAACACGTTTACGCGATGGGGTCTTCGGTTTAAAATTTTCCCTCAAGGACAGGAGAGAAGAATGTTCCCAGGACCCACGGTAAAAAATTCCTGAACGAAAAATGATGTCTTTGGGGGAAAAGTTTTCGGTCCAGGGGGGGCCTCATCGCATTGCAATAAAGCCTCTAAACTTTCGACATCGAAAATTGTCTGATACATGACTTCCTTTGATCGCGAATCAACCCTGAGAGTATCAACAATTTTTCCCACAATTTCAATACCATATACTAAAGATCCTTTTTCTTCTCTTCAGCTCTTGTCTAATTGCTAAAGAAAGTGGAGGAAGTTAGATTTTTTTCTGTGGATGTAGAAGGAAATGGCTAAAGTTCCTAAAAAAAATCCGGCGTTAAGATGGGCGGAATGTCGTTTAAATTGCGCGCTGAAGGAAAAAAAGCGATGCCAAATGTGCAGAAAAAGTCCTCGTCTCGAATTCGTCTTTCTCGAGTCAAATTGCCCTCGATTTCTATGTTTGCGGAAATTTTGTCGGTAAAAACCTCTTCAAAACTGGTTTCCAGCCGATTTTTGGCAGCCGTCTTGTCGAAAATTGAGGTATCGATCTGCGGCAAAAATTGTCTCATTTTATTATCTATTCAACGATATACCAAAATATAAGGGTTGCCCTTTGAAAGAAAGAAAGTTAGGGTCCGTAGCCCCCCCCCCCCTCGGAGGGAGCCCCGAAAATTTTGGAGGGTCAAAAAAGTAATCACTTTGACACAGGACCACCGTCAAAATTTCAAGTCTTTATCACAATTCGTTCGAAAGTTACATGGGTGTCCTTAGACTTTTGTGTCGCCCTGTGTGTATATCATCCGCTTATCAATAATTCCACACAGCTGTCCGCCTATCAATTCGTTTTATATTTTAATGAAATTATAGTCATTGTTCAGAGAATTTGGAGGTCGTAAATATTTAAGGCATAAAATTGCAGCGTAACCCGAAAATTAATTTCGAGCTCCATAGCAAATAAAATTTTTGCGCACAGATATTTTTTCTGAACTCCGTCCATTGGATTGAAAGTTTAACCCGTAATAATTCTGGTTCGGTCTGACATTTTTGAGCCAAATTTCTCCTGAGACAGCTCTAAACGCAGCCGTGCCAACACCTATTTTTTTAGTTGAGGATATAAGTTGAAAAACACCCCTCTCCTAATCTCCTATTCTGAATTATCTTTAAATATTCTTCTCTCATTTTTCTTAATTTTTTTTCAAATCACTAGAAAGCCTCGCCCCTTTGTTTTTGTGCTTTTCATGCAATGGCATTCCTCATTTCCAAGGAAAATTGCCATACGCTCTTCCCCTAGGAATATGATTTTCTTGAGGCTGGAATTTAGACCCTTATTAACAATTTGCCAGTTTCAGTAGAATTTCAAATGTATTAGCAAAACCTCTCGTTCCTGCTTTGAAAAAGTAGAACTTAGAAAACGTTTATTTCGAGTTTTTACCGTTCTGTTCGGCAACTGCAAATCAGAGACACAACGCCACGATTTTATCAGGACTGCAAACGACATAAAAAAGTTTTACGAGGGTAAACTTCGGTGAAAAACGCTTTGTATACGACAGTAGAAGCTCTTATTAGCGCTGTTTTCAAATGATCACTTAAAAATGAGCTTTCCGTCATCAAAATTCTACCAAGTTATCTTCCCAATTGGCAACTTCGTTCAAGTTCCTCATATTTATAGTCCCTTGTTGGCTTGGTCCCGTGAGTAAGAGAGTTCTCGAGTGCACCTCTTGTTTGATCCCTTTTGCGTTTTTTTCTCTTTTTTTCGCTTGCTTATACAGTGAGCTTTCCGCCTCTTTAATACTTCATTGTCAAGGAAAAGTTTTTTCAAAGTCATAAGGAAGAGCGCTCCAAAGAGATCATTCATACTAGCTTAGGATAGGTAATATCAAAGCACGTCTAGGAAGCTGATACTTTCTGAGAAGGAAAAAGTTATAGTTTTCGATTGATTTTTAGTTCTTGAAAGTTCTTACAGATCAATTTTTCAGATGACAAATCGGGACTTTCAACCCAGTGTATATTCGGCTCAATTTTTAACCATCTGTGTAGTCGCAGGAATCCGCATATTGTTTGTAAAGGATTTAAATAGGAAAGAGATAGTGTTGCCAACTTGCAAGAACCAGCACTGAATTTTGCGATTAAACATTATGATTCGACACAAGTTGTAAATCATACACAAATGAATATCTATCTTAATAAATGAAATTTAAGGAAGTAAGATATCAGTCGTTAAAAACCTTCATTTGACTGTTCTACATTAAGGAAAAAGTGGTGTTATGTTCACAGTGGTCTTGAAGCAAAAAAAAAAAAAAAAATGCGACAAAAATGTACCTCCTAAAAAACGGTTTGCAAGGGGTGAGTCAATCTTAAGTGAGGACTTAAAATCGCGAAAAATCAAAATCTTGGCTAATCCTAATTTCGAGATATCGCAATTTGAAATTTTCATAGTAATTGCAATTTTTTTTATTGATTTTGATCCGCCTTTTTATTTCTTTATCCATTGAGTCGGTGCCGATCGGTTCACGTCTCTATTTTTCATTCGATTCATGTGTTTTTCACCGTGTACTACACGGTCGTTTCCAATGAGCTTTTAGCTGCGTCCGCAGCAATTGTTGTTACGAATATGTTTTGCGCGCTGATCTCAGCTAATTACATACTTGACTCTCTAAGGACGTTTAATATGCGAAAGTAGAGTACTCTGTTGGAGAACAACAGAAGTAAGATTGTAAGAATCGTTCAATCCCTACCTCATTCGTTCCCCGACAGATTGCGCTACTTGCGCATTTAATGCGCCTTCAGAGTGTCGAGTATGTCATGAGTTAAAATCAGCACGCACAACATACTCGTAACAACAATTGCTGCAGACACAGCTGAAGGCGAATAACTTTCGCACACAAAACGCCTTCAGAGAGTCAAGTATGTAATGAGCTGAAATCAGCCCGCACAACATATTCGTAACATCAATTGCTGCAGACGCAGCAGAAGGGGAATTGTTCAGTTAAAAAAAAAGGGTATAATTCGTGGTCTATGTAATGTGAGGGTATGTTTTGGTTGACGTGAATCGAATGAAAAACAAGAACGTGAACCGATAAACACCATTCAATGGACAAAAAAATAAAAAAAGCTTATCAAAGTTAGTAGAAAACTTTTGTTTTGGTTACAAGACCACTGTGAATGATTTGACACTTTTCCATCGGTTTTCAACTGATATTTTGAAATGCACTAATAAACAATTTTAACAGCGGGTAACAAAGGCCTTTCTACACAAATGACACCAAAACGTTTCAGCCGAAAACTCAGGCTTGCGGTTGGATGAAAAAAAAAACAATAAAAAGTTTTTAAAAATCTAAAAATCTTAGTTGACGGCTGCATCTTTCAGAACAAGAAGAATGTTTTCTTATTTTGAAATACTCGTGTCAAAATTGGAGATTTTTGAATGCTTTGTGGTAATGGAATTTATTCTCGGTGAATTTTCCGAAGAAAACGACGATTCCGATTTTTAGACGTTCGTCATCAACAAGTGTTTTTACTTTCTTCGGGCCCTCACCAACACGATGGAATGACTCAGTCATGAGGGCCCATCAGTATTATGCCGCACAGTGGATCGAGTCAGTAGGAGAGGTCGGACAAAATTTGAAAACTTTAAACGCTTATAACTCCGTTAACACAAAACTTTGAGGTTCTAAAGATGGTTTCTTTGGTATCTTTGTGAAATTTTCTTCCACAACCACCTCTTAAAATTTAAAATGTGACGAAATGAACATCAAAATTTGCAGTTTTAGTCAAAAATTTCATGTCCGACCTCTCCTATTGACTCGATCCACTGTGTGCCGGGTGACGCTCTGTTTTCTTTTTGTGTACTTCACCACTCACATCTAGTCTCAAAATTACGTTCATGAGCTTGATGGTTGAATCAATATCTTAATGCTCCTAACGTCATTACTAAGCAAAATAGAAAACAGAATACGTCAGATTTCAGTATAATTAAACGGAAATGCCGAGACGAAAAAAGTAACTGTTTTAATAGCTTCAGATAAATATAATGCGCATTCCTTGATTGCTACTTCAGAGACACTTAAAGTCTTCTCATCTGTATGTTGCACTTGTTGGATGCATAAGCTCCTTCTTTTGGCATTAGCTTTATAAGTAGTCAAATGCCGTGAATGGGTCAGTTGCGCTGGTCGCAGAATCGTGTTTTTATGCTTAATTCTTGCAGATCAGCTAAAAATAATATGATCTGTCGAAGCTAAACAGAAACTTTCTACGTTCAATATTAACCGAGTTATCGCAATTTTAAAAATCGGATTTCTGACGCCATCCTTTGCGGTAGTGACACCCTTGGTTTCCTCCACCTTGCTTTCATCAGTCGGTGTGACGCACATTTGCACTGGTTGTTCACCGGAAACCCGGATGAAAGCAAGGTGGAAGAAACCAAGGGTGTCACTACCGCAAAGGATGACGTCAGAAATCTGACTTTTTAAAGGACAATATCTCTGCTAATATTGAACGTAGAAACTTGCTGTTTGGGCGGATCGTATTATTTTTACCTAATCTACAAGAATCAAGCATCAAAACACGATTCCATGACCAGCGGCACTAGCGCAACTGACCCATTGCTAAGATGAAAAATATTATTTATTTAATGACTATGTGTAGGAAATATATTTCTATCTCACATTTTAAGAGCTTTTGAAAGAGAATGATACAAACAACTTTCTGTCAAAAGTCTTTTCGTCACTTACCATTCAGTTGAGCTTTGGAGAGTGGTTCCCGGACGGACGTAGATTTTTTGAGACTGGACTGGTTCTGGACGGGGGGACGCCGTGCATCTTGTGGGGGGACCCGTTCGGGGGCAACGGGAACTGGGACGGGGACCGGAGTCGTGGCGGGGGGGGGGGGGGTGTTGGGGGGCTCCTGTGCGGGTTGCCCCTCCGTCGGCTGCCCCTGTGAGCATTGCAGGTCGTTTCGAGTCTGCAACAAACCCCAATCAAAATGTAAAACGCACCTGCAAGGTGTTTCAAGTTTTAAAACTGTGGAACTCTAAGCAGCAATAAAGAATTTGCAAGTGTCTTAAATTTGGTGAATTTCATATTTCAGGGTGTCTACAGGTCCCGAAAGTCCTGAATGAGTCCAGAATTTGTTTCACCGGTCCCGAAGTCACGAATAAGTCCGGAAATTTAGCTCGAGGTCCCGAAAAATTAAAAATTCACGGTTTTCGCGAGTCAAAGTATAGTTGTAACGTAGAAAAAATGTCCCCGATTATACATACATATCATGGATTCTTTTAGTCATCAGCAATTTTCATAAAGATGGACTCGATTTCCATTAAAATTAGCAGTAAGTGTAGACCCTGACTTGGCCAAAATACTCCGAGGGTCCTGAAAAAGTTCTGAAAAGGTCCCGAAAAAGTCCTGAAATTGGTTTTCAAAAACCTGTAGACACCCTGTATTTAAAATAGTACTATTGAGACACGTGCATTGCAATGTATCGATTGATTCTCCATTTAAACCTAAAGGAAAGGATCGATAGACAGAGTGTTCGGAAATAACACCTTAATAATCGATTCATTACCATAGCCTCAAATGAGAAAATATCGATAATAGGTCGTTCACACCTCGCCGCTGTTCTGAGAGAATTGAGTACAAGGATAACGTCGGTTTCTAAATTATAATCGGAAGAATATGACAAAATAACTTATTTTGCTAAAATATATTATTAATTAAGAAATTAGATTTAAAAAATATTAATGAAAAAACCTAAGACCACATGTTCGTGGCCTGAATCCGAGAAAAACGGTATTGGTACCGGAAGACGGAACTGGTTGCAGTTTCGTAGAAGGAATGATTGCAGAAAATATTTTCTATCTGGAGTAATTAGTTAGTGTTACGGAGAGAAATCATTTCTCTCCGCAGTTACGACTAATTGCTCCGGAGAGAAAACTTTTCTCTTGGGAATAATAAGTTATTGCTAGGAAAAGAAAACATTTCTCTCCCAAGCAGTATTTTATTGTTCCTGGAGGAAAAGTTTTTTCTCCGGAGCAACAAGTCGTAGCTGAGGAGAGAAATATTCTCTCCTCCCAGCAATAACTTATTGTTCTGGAGAGAAATTATTTCTCTCCGGAACACTTACTAATTGCTCCGGAGGGAAAATATTTCTCTCCTTAGCCTGATGATCTCGGATCTCGGCCACCAACATGTGGTGGAAGGCCTTTTCATCGATACTTTTTAATTTTTATATTGTTTTAATCAGACTGAAAATTACTCAGTTTTGAGTCGAAACGTCTCTGATGTTTTATTATTCTATTTTAGCCTTGCCCCGCCCCCCCCCCGTTTTTCTGCTGTTTTTGACAACCGCATTTTTGGGGACCTACACTGTATTTGTAGCCCCTTGTAAAATCATCATAAGTGTAAAACATGAGTTTTGCATCTCGCGTTTGGTAGGAAACAGCACCTCTTCACCAAATTTTTTCACTCGTATTGGATTTTTGAGCGTGCATTGCGAATTTAAATCACTCCAATTCTCCAAGAATTTTACAGTTACAGATCTTACTCTCCAAACTAAACACTGATAAAAGAAAACCCCATGACTCATCTCTTAAAGTGCAGACACAACGCGTAGGTAAATATAAGATTTACGAGCGCAAAAGCAAGTCATGCGAAAAATATTACGAATCCAAATCTTCAAAAATCGTAAACCATTTGCGTGGTGTGAAAGCTTGAAGTTTGGACTAGCGGGTAAACATTTTGAGCAAACTCGCATCCACCCCGGAATGCAATTTAGTTGAGCGTTACGCAAATACACCGCCATCAACTCGCCCGGAATTGCTTTGAAGTTTTCCACCACACCAGAGAGACATTTGGCTGAGGGGGGAGGATAGGGGAGCGGAATAGAGCACATGCAGGGAAGGGTGAGGGGTTTGAGAGTGATTTGCATCCGTTTCGCGGAACATGCATGTTCGGGTGAATGAAAAAATGAAACATTTTTCCACGAGTTCGAAGCCAGATCACCTGAACTACTTTCCTCTACATCAAAAAAATGCATCTCCCAAATCAAGCGGACTGCCTTTTACAATAACGGACCACTGTATTTGGCTCATTCATAAGAGCCTTATCTGCATACGGAAACTTAAAATTGATAGACAAAGCTACAGACCAAAAATACAAAAGGAAAATGAAGCGATCTCTTCGGTTGGAGTAGTTGGTTCTCAGAAAATGAGTCTCTAGTGGGTTGCTGTTTGTTAGTCTATTACTCACTTCATGTGTCTATTGCATCCAACCGCATCTACCAATAGGATCGCTCATTTATCCTTTGTCTCCTATGTCTTGCTTTGTCTATCCATTTCAATAATATGCCCGCTGTAAAACTGGAGCAGCCTTGCTTTTTTTCGAGACTTGACTCCTTTAAAAATTTCCTGTTTCATTATATAAAAAAAAGAGAAAAAAAGAAATAAAAAAAAAGTCTCCTGAAAACTTGGACATCTTCAGAGTGGCTTCTGCAATTATTGGGATGACTTTCAAATACCGCCGCTAAGAAAGGTACACTTCTCCGGGCAATATATCGGCAATGTTAGAATTGATTTTGATACAGCTCATTATCAGACCAAGTAAGATATTGTCTAATAAACCTTTTTGAAGCAGTCAACGGAATCTAATCGATCAATGCTCGTACAGTGGCTCTAAAATAGCCTGTGGTAAAAGCTGCTTTAATGTTTCTTACTTACTCTTGATTTTTTATTTCTGTCATAATTTTTCTAAATGATAATTTATTTTTTGTTGCAGGTAAGAAATCCAACCAATACTCGCATGCCAATGACACTACTCATATCGTAAGTTTCAGAATATCTTTCTTTAAATTAGCGTCAGAAAATATATCTTGAATTTTGGCGTCAAATTCTACATAATATTTAGCTAATCTATAAGAATCAAGCATCGAAACACGATTCTGTGACTAGTGCAACTGACTCATTGTGTGCAAGGAAAATAAATCGACCTGGAGCTCCAGCTTTTCGACGGAGCTTCAAAGTTTGCCCAACGTAAACAAACCTGACCCAAAGGAACACGTATTATCGGCTAAGAAATGAATTATAAGCACACTCGAAGGTTAATTTTCGGCAAAAATATCCATCCAAGATCAATCCGAACTAAACTCGGAAGTTGAATTTAAAAATAATTTCTATCACATCCAAAATCACGTCTAGAACTTTTTCGCCATCTGGTTTGTTTACATTGGGCTAAACTAGGAGGGGAGGCGGAGGGGTTGGGGTTTGTTTACATTGGGCCAACTTAGGGGCTCCATAATAGCCGTCCAATCATTGAGTGGCACACTTTTTCTGTAGTAAAGGGATTGACGATGACAATACTCTCACGTATACAGGTATTCTAGAGTGATCAATGCTCACACTCGAATCCCCTTCAATTACCGAGGTAGGCAGTCGCTCGCTTTCGAGGTGGAATAGTGGCCTACATGGACCCCTACTTGGCGGCACGATACATTCTCCAATGACTATACTCTTACTCTCACTAGTCACAATGCGTGTACTTCAGTGCTGAACAACTGCTGAAACTGCGTCTTAAAAGCCTAAATCAAAAGAAAATTCCATCGAGTAGCTGAAAACTTAATTTTTCTCTTTATTCGGGTATTATGTCCGGGGGCCTGACAGGTCACTTGCCCCCAGTGTTCGAAACTCACCTTGAGTTTTAGGAGCCATGTGGCCATCAAGCCCGATTTTTAGGCGCCATCGAAGATTTTTTAGGGGCCAACTTGACTTTTCTCCTATCTATTACGGTACATTTTGTGAAGAGTTAGACGCAAGATGTCTTCGTAACAGAACTAGTAAGTAGCTGTAACTTGGGGAAGACAAAAGCACTAAAGATGAAATCACGAAGAATAGAAAAAGCTTTCACTTGTAGTGCTGAACATTTCGAAAAATCACCTAATATGAAAATTCAGATTTTTAGGGGCCACGTTGGCGCAGATCCTTCATTTTTTAGGCTCCATGGCCGATTTTTTAGGTGCATTCGGCGCGTTGGTGCCTGTGAGTTTCGAACACTGCTTGCCCCCCTCCTCCAGATTTTGGCGAAGTGACGTTACTGACAAGAAGCAGCCCTCTATCTCATTTTCTGCATAATGCAGTCGGCTCGTTATTGCAACGCCGCGCGAGTGTGGGCTTTGAGTGTGATGCGGAGTCGGGGAAATGCGGGCTAAATTGCAACTAATCATTCTCACTCGCGTAACGTTGCCAAATTGCTCGCGAAAATTCGCTCTCTCCCCTGTGGTTGCGCCGATCTGCCGAGGAAATCCAGCATTCGTCGAGTGCTGGCAACGTGGCAACAGAGTTGTCCCGCCCCCCACCCTCCCCCGACCGGTGCTGTTTGTTTGACCACGAGTAAAGCCCGTCATCCCTTCCCCCCACCCCCTTTGCGTAATCACAGTTGCCTCCCACGTCCCAGTTTTATTTGCGCGGGATAACAAATAAACCGGTGACGTCCGGAGGAAGGCACGTGGCAAAAAGTTCCCTGCTAAGGAAAAACGCTGTATGAGCATTTAAGTGTTGCCAAATTTCCCGCGATGGATATTGAAAACAGCCAATGGCTTTTGTGGAAACTAGAGTCTCTTTATACTGAGAGTCAAGACAATGTGAATCCATTTCTGATTGGTTACCATATTTTAGGCCTTCACAGTGTCACAAACGGGAATAAAGATTACATTTTCACCGATTGCAAAGATTATAATTTGGAATGGACCAGGGAATTACGGGCTCGGCAAGGAACAACCGGAATGAGAGAAGGAACGGAGAAAGGAATTTGAGAATGAGCCGATCAAAGATTACAAAAAACGTTCAATTTCTGCAATCTTTACTCCCGTGTGTGACTCCATAAGGAGGTGTTGTCTTGACTCTCAGTGTAAAGGAACTCTAGTGGAAACAGGAGAAGCCCATTTTTTCATCTTTTGGTTTTTCCCGTTTTTAAGAC